ACAAAAAACATTAACAACAAAACAAATAATAATAAACAATAATTATAATAATTTGTATAAGGTTATAAATATATTAATCAATTAAATGTCTATTTTGATACAAAAAAACTAACGTGTTTACATTTTCTGGTAGTAAGCAGCTCCTTTTTGGTGTAACAATATTTCCGGCAGTTGAAAAACATCTTTCAGAGCTGACTGATGTAGCTGGTATTGTGAGATATTTCTTCGCACATTTGGAAATGATTGGATACTTGATTGTTCTTGTATTCCACCACTCAAAAGGATCCAAATCAAATCTTAGTTGAGGTTCAGCCAGATAACCTTGTAATTGTGTTTTTGGATCATTTATATCGATCATTTCGTCACCGTATAGGAACTCCATGGCACTTGTATGTGAATTTTTTGAATGTTCCGTAACTGAAACCTGTGGATAATTAGTTTCAAGTATATTTTGCAACTCTTTTCGAATATCATCTCTTGAATCAAGTGACTCATGTTCTAAGTCCTTATACCTTGGATCGAGTAAAGAAGATATTTGACTTAGGCTTACAGTACTTGAGGATGTCCATTCGAGATTAAAACGGGTTTTTATTTGTGTTATAAGTGATTGCTTGAAATATATTTCAATATCATCTTCAGTGTCATTTATTGATAAATGTTTTTCTATTACTTTTTGTAGTAATGGTCTGACCATTGAAACGGGAGAATGCTTTTCATCACAAAATAGTTGCGTTATTATTTGTAGTGGTTTGAGTTTTTTGATAAGAAATTCTACCCTAGCCCATTGGCTCTCTGTAATTTCAAACTTTTGTGCCATAGTTGCACTTGTAATAGCTCGATCAGCTATGACGTTAGCTAATGTAGATCGATTAAGGTATAGACGTTCTAACATCATGAAGGTGGAATTCCAACGTGTCTTACAGTATTGAATCAAAGCCGTTTTTGCCATACCAAGCTGTTCTTGTTTCATTTCTAATGATCGTTTCGCTATATTTGAATGTTTAAAATGAGAAACAAGTTTACTACATTTTTCAATCAATAATTGAATATTATCTTGCCTTAGCGAATGGTTGATAGCAAGTTGAAGTGAATGAGCTGCACATAGCACATGTTACACTGCTAATGTTTGTATCGCTAGATATTAAAGAAATGGCATTAACAATGTTCCTAGCATTGTCGGTGACAACAGCTATGACTTTACTGTTAACTTCCCATTCATTAAATGTATTTCCCAATTGAATTGCTAGATTCTCAGCTGTATGGCGTTCTTCCATTTCATGCGTGCTAAGGGTATAAGAGCTAACGTTCCAATGTAAATCAATTGTATGAGCAGTTACGGTAATATATGAATCCTGAGATAACGAAGACCAGCCGTCAGTTGTACAAACGATACTTTTTGTCTGATGTAGATTTTCCCTTATTTTTGTTTCAACTAACTTTTTTAATCTATTTATTCTAGCTTTCATTGCTTCTTGCTTACAAACTTTATAATTGGGCTCAACGACAGCCATAAAATTTTTGAATCCTATGCTCGAACAAAATGAAATTGGTAGTTGATTCATTGATATTAATTTTGCTAATGATTCATGAATCAGTTCTCTTCGTTCGTTACTGCACGCAAATTTAGATTTTTGAACTTTCAATACATTAGGTCTTTTGCGTTTTCGACTAACTGGTGACTTATGTTCAACATTTGAGTTAACTGGACCTTCCACTTCACTTATGCCATCAGAGTCATCATTTTCTGCGAAATCGGAAGATGAAGGTAAAGGTAATGTAGAGGTGCAGGTCGATGAACTTGAAGTTGATGAACTTAAATCACAAATTACATAATTTTTCGAATTAATTGGTTTAAATTGGTTACCATTCTAACAAAATTTAATGCCATGTTTTATGTAAACAGTTTATAATGTTACCAAAAAATCAGAAAAAAATATTCAAATTATAATTTTTTATATATACATTGTCAAATGAAAATCAATGATAAAACTATTCTGTGGTATGACCGTGGACCAACAACCTATATGGTATCACGTATCTTACTCAGTAACAAAAATTAAAACAAATAAACGTACCTTAATGACTGACAATTTGTTGGCTTCAAATTATGCACTAATTTTAAATGTCGACCTAATGATCCCGTAGTTCCACCAGTACATGAAAATTCGTTGACATCATCTTCATCACACATATTACAATAACCTTTGTCTCTAATACGTTTGGCATACTGCCATACCCAACTTTTTAATTTAGATTTAGACATTTTAGAGGTTAAAATACGTTGAGGTTGAGAGGTGACACTTGAGACTGAGAGACGGCGGCAAACATAATATAATATGTTATCGTTTAATTTGGACTTTGGAGTATATATTATTTAATAAACTAAGAGTTTATCAATTATTATTTTTGTTATTCCCATTATTTACTTTTCATATATTATTTATTAGGCGTTTTAATATTTGTTACGGGCTCAGCTATCCATGTCTTTTATATTGTTATATGATATAATTGATAAGCAGCGAAATAATGCACTTTTGTATAGATATAATCTTCGTAATAATTATTGCACACACAGAGCAAGAGCATAATATAATATAAGTATAATCTGCAACGACGTCCTTGACCATTGAACTAACTATAGTGTATACTATAGTGTACGCCTGTGTACACTATAGTGTATACTATAGTGTACGCCTGTGTACAACTGTTAAATTTTTTTTTTCTATATCCTAAATTTATTAACATTTATAAATTGTTATACATTATAAATTATTATAGATCATTAAAAACACGTGTTATATTAAATACACGTGTAATATTAAATACACGTGTTATATTAAATACACGTGTTATATTAAATACACGTGAAATATTAAATACACGTGTAATACTAAATACACGTGTAATATTAAATAAACGGTTAAATACACGTGTACTTAAATACACGTCTACCCGTGTACCCGTGTATTTCAAATACCCGTAGGAAATCGTAAGCCCTAATTTAAACTCAATATCTATATCAAACACAAAAGGACAAAGATTATTAAGAGGATAATATCATTGTAATATTCGTTTTTTCTCTCAAATTCACGCCTAGCATAGATAAAACTCTTTCATATAAAATCGTTTTTTTATGATTTTATAACTTCTAGCATTTTCTATATTATTTCACGTACTTATTTAGTTAATAGTTTGTTAGAAAACATAATTTTGGAGTTGGAAAAAAATCAAATACAAAACATTAGGTTGTCAATACGCCACTATGACAGAGAAGAGTGAATACAAATTGTTACATAAATATGGATTGTGTTTACAGTTATTATTAATTTGAAAACACATACACAGTATACAATATTATGTACTAAGTTTAAAGCATAATGTAAGGTTACCTATAAACGCTGAGATAGCAAAAGTGTATAAAATATCATACACCCATTTAAATAAAAGCAACGATAGGTACCTAGCTGTTTGTGGTTTGTTCTGGTGAAGACTTACAGCAGTAAGTTTGTTATGTTGTACTATATTTTAATAATGTTATGTGGTTTTAATAAAGTGTTTTTGAAAAACATGCTTATTGTTTTTCATTTGTTGAGAACTGTTCTTCTTAAGAAGATCTGCATAATCTAAACTGAAACTATTAAGCTTAACCGCGATTGTATCTATATTATACAATTGTCATTCAATCGGCTAGTTATTAGATTTATCTGTAGGCACTAAATTGTTTTTGTTACATACGTTATACGAGGTATTCTAGTTATCTATTCAGGATTCTGTACTTACATTTAACTCAGTAGGTATAGCTAATACAAAACGGTTACCAAGTCAGAGATCAACGTTTAAAATTTATTGGTTTTTAATTTTTAGAAATGACTGTATGTATATTTTATTGCGATATGATTGAACCAAAATTGTACTTTAAGAAAATTATTAATTGCAAATAAATTTATTGAGACGATATTAAATTGTAATAGAATAAAGTAGGTTGAAATGCCGTTGAATATAACTGGTTTGACATTAAGAAGTATTGAAGTCATTTCACTTGTTTTTTTGATTAAATCACCCATTCATTAAACTTTATGACGAATAGTGTACCTAATATAAATACTTTCCGATATTTAGATTCCAGAAAAACTTAGGAGTGAACCGCCCCGCAAAAAAAAAAATCATTTTCATTTTCATTTAGTGGGATAGATTTCTGAAACCGAAGAGCGGATTTTGTTGGATTTAAATTAGCTAGGAGAAGTACAGTGAAGTGATTGAAAATCAAGAAAGTAAAAAATAATATAGGAACAAACATGTCATATAATAATAATGTTTGTATTAATTTTTGAAATATTTGTAAGCATGATTTTAATATATTTTTTTAAATTTAGAATATAGTTTTTTTTGTTCTTATGTCATTGCTTAACATAAATTAAGATAATATTATTAGCGTGATTCTTGATATTTATATTTCCCACGATTACGCTTTACAGGTGAATTATGACTTATAGAGTTACATTCATTTACAAAAAATACATTTAAAGCTTATTTATTTGTTTCTTTAAGTTATAGAACAAAAATTGTGGGTACCTATACGTCTTTAAAAAATGTATTCTCTCTGTTCCCAAATCTTTTGTGAATGTTTAAATAACATTGTCATATTCTAAGTGGTTCCAAGCACGACATTGTATAAGGAAAATAAAGGTATACCTATAGACAATTATAATTTATAACTATTTGGTATTTTGGCGTCATATTTAGTTGACAAAAAATATTAAAATTATTATATACCTTACCTTTTTTAGATACCTACCAAAATATTGTTTGTTTAGGTGCCTAGTCATAAATACTTCTACATATTTGAATGAATATAGAATACAGAGAATATTGTTGAGGTGCATTGTTGATTTTTGGTGACGTTTGTTGTACCATTTATACAATTCTATTACCAGGTTGTCAATTGAATATAATATAATAAATACACCTCCAGTTAATACAGCATATTGGTTGACACCTATACAGTACCCGATTTTGAACCTCGTTGCGTTTTATACTTCATGGAAACCTTTTAACCCAATGGATTCGATACAATACCTACTTTCTATTGAGGGAAAGGATGCTGTGCAAAGTAGGATTGAAATCCTCGAGGTTTCGGATAATAAAGTGTTACACCATTGTCGAGAGTACTGAGCATACAAGTCAAACACGGAATAAAGGTTGTCGGTTAAATCATAGTGATTAAATGGTGTTACACCGGGATCGGATCACTCCGATGACCGGAGAACTAGGAAAAAACATAATACTATATTTTAATCATACAAATCAGATTTGTTCGGGATGAAGTTATTTTTTTGTGTTCCGTGGTGGGTAAATTTATGGACTTTTCTCATACCATTCTCTTTCGTTCTATTTTCTTGAGCATTACTCATTTTGTCAAAGAGTTATGCATATAATATGATCGTGAAAATGTCCTTGTGTGTATAAAATATATCAACACCTCCATAACTGAGATATGCATATTTCTGTTGCTTGTTGTCATTAGTCATTAATAAACTCTATACAGTGTTATATACTCGTATATCGCAGCTAGCAAAGAGCTCCATCTCCGTTATTGGGTACATTAATTATTTAGTCCAGTTGATCGAAGTGGTTGAAATAAAAATAAATATCATATATGGAAATAGTGGCAATAAGTATTTATTAACGTATACGTTATTACTATTATCAGGGAAGTATCTGAAAGGGTGGCGTTCAGGGCTTCCGGACACCTCCTCCCCCGTGAAAAAAAATGTATTTGTGATTTTTTTTACTAACCTAATAATTAAATAATTAAAAACACCATAGAGTTAGTTAACACTTGCACTCACATAAATACACCTATATAAGAACCAAACTTCTTCAAGACTACATCAAGCTCTCGGCTGTGAGCTTTTTAGAATCCATCAACTCAAATGCACTACTGCATCAACATCAGATCACCTCCACAGC